CCGCTCTGCTCCAATTTAGACTGGTTGCTCTCTCTTCTTGTTACATAGATGTCTTGGGAACTCACTTCATTTTTCTGGGAGAATTCCCTTTGCCTTTCACTTTAGTTGGATTTCCTTTTTCCTAATCCTATGTCTTTCTCATGTCTTATTCCCTTGGTTTACTCCATAGAGTGTTTGGGAATTTTTTTTTTTTTTTTTTTGAGACTTTGCTGGTGTGAATATGCCTTATGCCTCCCTCAACTTGATTATTTGTTGGTTTGGCTGATTATAAAGTTCTGTGCTATAGAATTTCCCTCACAATTTTAGAAGCACTTCTTCATTGTTTTTTGCCTTCCAGTGATGCTCTTAAGTCTAATGCCATTACATATATTCTTTATCCTTTGTATAAAACCTATTTTATCTCTTTAGAGGCTTGTAGGATCTTCTCTTTTTCTCTACTGTGACTTAGTGTGGGTTTTTACTTCTATTTTCTTAGATACATGAGGAACCATTAAATCTGCAAATTGTATACTTTAGTTTTAGAAAATTTCTTTTATTATTATTTTGTTGATGATTTCTTATCTTTTGTTTTCTCTGTTCTGTCTTTCTAGAGTTCCTAGTAATTAAATATTACATATTCTAGACTGGATCTTGTAATTTTCTTATATTTTTACTCTGATTTTCCATTTCTTTTTCTTTTATACTCTTCTTTTTAAAGGAGATTTTCTCAGCTCTATTACCCAACCTGAAGTTTTTCATTTCTATAATCATTTTTATTTTCAAGACCTTGGTCTTGTTTTACACCCTCCCCCCCAAAAAAAAATTAAAGCTTCTTGTTCTTATTTCATGAATGCTCTGTCTTCTGTTCTCAACTCTCTGAAGGTATTAGTTATAGTTTTTATTTTTTAGAAAAATTTCCCTCCTATGTAGTCTTTGTTTATTCCATTTTTTTGGTCTCTATTTTTCATACTAGATACTTTCTTCATATCTTTGATTGTCCTTGGCAGTCTGCTCATATGTTAAGAGTTAGATACTAATAATAAAGTAGCATACACTTACATAATGATTAAAGTGTATCAGACATTGTTCTAAGTGCTTCATCTATTTTAACTTATTTAACCCTCATAATGACTTTAGGAATTGGTTACCACATTGTTATTATTCCTATCTGACAGATGAGGAAACTGAGTCATAAAATGTTAAATAACTTGCACAATGTAACACAGTAGGTAAGTGGCAGAGCTAGGATTTGAATCCAGGCAGCCTGACTCCATAGTCCCTTCTTTTAACCATTATACTTACTTTGTCTCTTATTGAAATAAGGAGCAAATTGGAAATTCTGTGTGTGTGGGTAGGGTTTGTCCAAGTAGTGTTACCTGAGTGAACTGTTTCTTTGTGGAACTTCTGATGAGGTTCTTTTTCATGGGCTGATTAGATTCACCAGAGAAGAATCTTCTAATTTGCTGTTCAGAGGTTGAAGCCTGGCAAGTGGCAGTTTGGTTGCCGAGTGGTGAAAGAAGACTGAGGAATGCGTCTGAAAATTTCATACAACTTTGACTTAGTCACCTGTCTCTGGTCTTCCAATCCAGAGATTTCTTGGTTTTACCCTGTCCAAGGAATAAACCTTCAGTTTTCTTCTGTGATGAGGCATTGTAAGTTGCCCAGTTGTGCAGATTCTGGGAGGGGATGGTGGAATATATCTGACTGTGACTCTTATTTTGAGTCTCATCTTTACCCAACTTTCGGTGTTGACCATTCTTGAGCCTTTTGTGGTTTCTGTGATGTAAACGTGATTGATTCTCATTTTCCCCACTGGTAGTGTAAGGTTCATCTTCCTTGTATTTGCTTTCAGTTTTTTTTTTTTTTTTTTTTTTTTTGCAGTTTTTTCATTTTCCCTACTCTTTGACCCTGTGTTTATGTGAAAGCAAACAGTCAAATCTTTGCTTGCTATCTTTTAGGAAAAGATTTTGGGAAAAGACTTGAATAAGATGGGTGTTCTTAATGTGCCATTTAAAATTCTCTAAGTCTCTTGAAATAAATCTCAGATGTCTCCTTTTACCTGAAGCATTTCATGGTGCTCCAACTAGACATTTCACCTTCTGAAAATCTTTTTCTCCCCCCTTGGATTTTTTTTCTTCTTTCGTTAAGACCCTTTTATATTTCATGTTATATTTGCATGCTTTTCTTGCACACTGCCCTCCCTTCCACACCAGGTCGTAACTCTTTGAGGACCTTGAGTGATCTCTTCTATAGAGTTGCTTAATAAAAATGTTACATTAAGTGTTGTGTATATGTTTTTCTTGTGAAATATCAGCAATATATTGAATACTGAGGATAGTTAAGGAGGGAATTAATATAATAGTGCAACAGAAGAGATTAAATTCAGATGTAAAGAAGCCTGAGAATTGTTAAACCTAGATATTATGAAATCTTTCAACATAACAAAGTATACATCTTGCCCCCTGCCATGACACAAAAGAATGAACTGCATGAACTGTCAATTTTTTGACCAGGCTCATGATTCTATAACTTAGATGACAGATATATTTGGCATTGCTATGTTATATTTGCAGTTTAATGGGATAATGTTAAATGCGAGAAATCTTCTAAAAGGTTTACAAATGCACGGTAGGCAAAACAGTGTTCTCAATGTATTGGACTAGCTAAATCCATAAAGAAGCCCCACATTTGTAATATTTCCTTTTAAAAACTAATTTTTAGTTTTTGTATTTTGTAAAATTGATTTTTACAAATCAGTGTTGTTAATTTTGCTCCTCCTGCTCTTTAAAATGTTCAGAAGGAAACAGAAACTGTTTCAGAATTTGAAACTAAATTATTCAGAGAAAGGTTATTGCTTTAAAATAATAATGTTTATTTCTCTAGTACTGTATTTTAAGAAACTCAGGACACATTTGTCTTTTAAAATATATTAATATTTCTTTGAAAATAAAGTACAGGAAGACTAATCTGCATTTTAATGTGTAATAGTTGCTGGGGTATGGAAAGCATCCGTGGTCACTAATATGTTCTTTTGTAGAGCTAAATCAGTACTTAGGAAGCTGATGGTATTTGGTTCATTACCACAGGCAAACAAGCTGAAATGATTGTTAGGCATGGGTATTTGTTTTTGTTTTCAAATTTTCTGGCACCTTACAAATTACTTATTGGGATATGACTTACGAAAACACATAGAAGCATTACTCTAAAAATTCCAATATTTTGAAACCATGTTATTTGGGTACAGTGTTTGTAGATGCTAAAAATATCTTTTAATTGTCTCCTGAGATTCGTGGGACACATGTGGAAAACACAAACTTGGTGTTTATAGTTTGACTCAGTTAATTCTCAGTACCCATATCACTCTTCTTTCATAATGCCTTCATGAAAAATGTAATCACATACAGATTTCTATTCGCTTGCAACACAGAACTAATGTGAATTCCATTTCATACTAACCACCATCAAAAGTTTCTGAAAGTCTGGTTTATATTTTTCAAGTGTATGTGGATGAGTTGCTTAGCTTTGATTTTTGGAGAAGTACATCTTTTAAAAATTTTTCAACAGATTGTTAAATTGTGGGTAATGGTGACAATACTGGTGTCATATTCTGATTAATTTAATGTAGTCCCTTTTTATAATGTGTTTCTGTCTACATATTCCTTATAGTGTCATTACCTACTGAGTTTCTGTGAAAATAAATTTCCTTTGCCTATTAAAATAAAGCAATCCTTGAGATTGTTTTTTACTGTTTATTTTTCTTTGACTATCTTTGAGTTTTATTTTTGAAGGCATTAGTATTAATTTTAGTGACAAGGCAAAGCATGGCTGTAGATAACTACTGCTTTATAACTCAAAGCAAAATGCCTTAGAAAATACCTTTCGAATTAGAGCTTAGCATATGATTTAATTTGCTTAGCTGTTTTTTTTTTTTTTAGAAGTTGGAGAAGATTGTTTTTCTGTAATCAAGTCCGTTTAGTATTACTGGGTCAAGAAAACTATAATTAATATTTGAATATATTCACTTTTGAAAGAAAAGGAAACCAGTTATCGAACAGAGTATCACTTCACAATTTATTGTGAATTTATTTTTTGTTTTACCATATATCACCTATTACTCATTTTACCTTTCCAGGTTTTCTAGTTCTTTCACTGTTTGTTAGATAAAAGCGTCTCCTTCTTATTCTTTCTTTCTTTCTTTTTTCTTTTTTTTTTCCAAAGCCCATGCACTCATGGTTTTATCCTTTTATTTTTATGATGTGCATTAGGACAAAATAAAGCATGTATTATCCCACTGCTTGTCTCTCTTACATACTTTAAGGGTAAAGAAGAGAGGTATTCTGGATATTCGCTTGTGTTTTTCTCTTTCCTGGTCTCCATGAATACATGACTTGATTTATCTTGATCAGCCTAGTAACTTGCTCCACATTTTTCCAAAAGTGCAAAGCAGTTTCAGCTAAAAATACACATATCAAAATGCTCCAGAAGTTGTGGCCACAGCTCAAAAATGCTGATCAATTTTGAAAATCTAAATCAACCTCGGCCATGAAACCGAGGGAAGAACCTTTGTGGTGTGGGACAGATTTCCAAAAATTCACCACAGTCCTGTTCTTAACTGGAGTTTGTGCTGATGTTGCCAGACAACTGAGGAATAGATGCAAAAAGCAGGAAGCATTATTGAATTGAGCCCTAGTGCCAATTTGGGAAAAGCAAATTAAAATGTAAAAGAATATTTTTCCACTCCTGGCGTCTCAACATAAAATGGCAAAATACATGGTTGCTGAAAAAGTCACAGAAATTGTTAATTTTGCCAGAATGGCTAATTTTGCCAAAAAACCTCAGTCTTTTTGTGTTAAAAATACATATGCATATAGTTAAAATATATTTTTTTAACCCAAATGAAATAGTTTTAATTTATAAATAAAAAAAACAAATCAAAATGTATATATACCTTTAAGTGAGAGAAGTGTTTTGACATAAATGACTCTGTGTGTGGGCTTGTTTCAATGTCTTCTGTTTTTCAGGTGCACTTAAAGAATGGATGATGATGATTTTGGTGGTTTTGAGGTATGTGCTGTTATTTACCTTATTTTGCTTATGTAATTGTTTTAACTTTGTGGGATTATAATAGAGTATACTAAATGTATTATTTATCATTGGTGTTCATGATCCTTGATCATTTTGAATATAACTCTGGAATAAAAAAATGAAATCAAGAAAAATTAAAATATATTCCCTCTGAAAGTTAAAACTGATTTATTGTTATTGAACACTTGGGCATGACCATAGGAATGGTCTAAATTGAGGTAGTTAAGTACTACTAGTGGAAGCAGTAAAGAAGAGGTTTGAGAAATTGCAGATGATTTTGCTGGGATACATGTCTTTTAGGAAATACTTGTGAGAGGAGGGATGAATATTGAAGATCTGTCACACATTTTCATGCTTACACCTGTAATGAGTTGATTTAGTATATTAAGTACACGGCCTTTTGGTGGTTTATAGAGCTAATTGTTTGCACTGTTGGATTATTCTCTTAGGTTTTAGTTGGATGCTTTGTAAGGAAATTGTTAGCTGAAGAAGCAGTCTTTTCCTTAATCCTTTTCAGTGTGTGTTCGTTTTATTGAAATATTTTGTAACCCAGTTATTTTTATGGAGCCAGTATAGTCTTGCAGGAAAATCTCTGGATTAGGAGTCAGGATGCCTGAGCTCAAGTTCTGGAACTACCATCAAGTGAGCTCTGTGATTTTTGCCTTTTTCTTTTTCTTTAAGAAAGACCTTTACCTAGTTTGGAACTTGGTGAAAAGGAGATTGTTATAGATAGGGACTGTAATTAATGACGTTAATAGGAGAAATGAGATATTAAGTATATATCCATATCATGAAAGAATAGTGTGAGTTTAGGTTAGGATCATTTTCTCTTCTGTTGATCTTTAATAGCTGTTAGTATGGAGATATTTAGAATGTGAATTTACCTGTTTTGTTCACTTCATCTAACACTGTTTTTTGTTTAGCACATTTGTATATTTCCTGTATTTGCTTTAGTATTTTGGGATTTGTTGGGTGACTGAATCTTATTTATGTTACTGAATCTTATTATGTTACTTGATTTATTATATCAGAGAAAAAAGAGTAGATAATGTTCCTTAGAGTAACAGTTATACTTCAACGTGTATTCAACGGATCTGTTCCTTTTAATATTATATAGGTACAAAGTTAACCAGCCATTCCAATTTAATTACGGTTGTTAGGGTTCTTTCTTTCTGTATACTGTTATAGAAATATGGAAGGTCTCTATCCTTGGGTATATAAACCATGTTTATTTGTCATAGTTTGTGGAGAGTAGCTACTGTATTCTACGTCACTTAGCTCCTGTGGCAGATTGCCCCAATTGACTTCTCCTTGGCTGACAACTCAATGCAGAATCCAAGTTGAAATTCTGGCTCTTTTTTTCAATGATAATTTTGCTGTGACCTGAACACTTAAGAGAGAGAAAACTCTGCACTGTTACCCACAAACTCAACATGCAGTAATTGACTGCCTCATAGTTTTAAAACTGTTTAATAGGAGGCTTTAATTTAAATGTCAGCTTTAGGAATTCTCTAAATGTTGAATGCTAGTAAGTTCAGCTGGTAGATTATTCAAGGATATGGATGAATCCTGTTTCTTTAGGTTGATCTCTTTTTGGTCTTGTGATAATTAATGAAAAAGATTTAGTCTCTAGACTTTTGAAGAAAAATGGTGTATTTTTCTTATTTACATAGGTAAACGCTGTGGTAGTTAGTTTAGAATACTTAGATATAAAGTTCACAAATGAAAATGTGATTAAGGGTATATGAAATTAAATTTCATTGGCAGGAGGTGTATTTGAGAAAGGAAGGAAGAGTTTTACTCAAAGATATAGAGCACAAACACTGGGGGTAGTCTCTAGTAGTGGGGGGTGGTAGCAGTGAAGACTGAAAAGCAATTGAGTATTCAGAGGAAATTTGAAAATGTGTGGGGTATTACAGAGTATTACATTTGCAGAATTGGGAGGCTTGATTGCTTAAATAGCATTTATACTTTTCAGATTTTCTAAAATAATTTTGCATTTGTTTTGTAGGCTGCAGAGATTTTTGATGGTGGAAATGGTGAAACCCAAACTACATCTCCTGCCATTCCTTGGGCTGCTTTTCCTACAGGTACTACTATAGAGTAACTAGGAATATTTTTTTCTTATTCAGCATTTTTGCCTTTCTTTTGAAAGCCCCTTTCCTACCTTTTCACTTTGCCTTCTTTGATCTGAAAAATGGAATGCCCCAAATTTAACATAGTTTTTTCCATAACAAATTATGGATTGAGTAAAAAATTCTGCAATGGTGGCTTGAGGCATGATTCCAAAAAAGATATCATGAACATTAAATAAAATTAAAGTACAATTGACATTTCCAAATTTGTCTTTGTTTTAATAAGGTGAGGTGCCAACTAATTTTTTTAGAGTGTCCATTTCATTAATTAAAGACTCCTTAATATTCTAAAAATATTATAAAAATGATTTGTCATCCCCAACAGTATTTAAATTTAGAAGTTTTTCTACAGGAAAATCATTCAAAAGTATTAAGAATTAAGCCATCCAGGAAATTAAATACAAAAATAAATTCCATTATTGGGAGGTATTTTATGGAAGACCTAATGTTCAGTATTAATATAATTCTGTCTAAATAATACTTAGCATTTTCTTTTTGTTCTGCTCAATCATTGTGAAGTCAGGAGTCGAAGATGAAAATACCATTCTTCAACAGCTCTGCCTCATCTTAGATTATTAGAGTTATTCATTCTACAAATATTTTTCCAACACTTATTATGCATGAGACACTGTGGGGACATGTCCTTTACTTCAAGGGCAGGCACATACATATTTGTAATATGAAGCAGATTTGTGATTTGGGAAGAATGATGATTTTGTCATCCATTCGTTTAGCAAATGTTACTTCATGCCTGGTGTGAGTCAAGTACTGTCCTTGAAGCTGCGTATATATCATTGATCTGGGCTTTGAAGGATGCATATAATTTCAATAGGCAGAGATTGGAATGGGGAAAGATTCTGAAAGGAGAAAAATGCTTGGAATAAAGGTGTAGATGTGGGAAAGAGGATGGCACCATTAGGATGCTCATTCTTGTTTGAAGGCTTTGTATGTGTTGTTTCCTTTGCCAAGAATTGCTCACCTTGCTTCCCACTGCCACTCTCTTCCACTCCCTTATCATATAAACTCATGTTTGTTTTATGTGTCGTTTCTTACTTTAATGTTTCTTTTTCTGGGAAGCCTTCCCAGAGAGCCTTCTCACATCTATGTGCACCTATTTTCTGGCTTTCGTGTTAGACTAAGTTTTGTAAGGTACCATGTCTGTTTTTCCGATTGTTATGTCTTAAATGCTGAACATAGTGCCTGGCTTGTAGTTGGCCCTCAGTAAATTTTGTAGAAAGAATAAAGAAAAACGAATGAATACATGAATGAGTGAATAAGTATCTGAATAAATGACTAGACTAGGGTGACAATGGGAGTGGATAGGAAGACTTGAGATAGTGATATTTATATGATGGTTTAGGATTTTCAGTGTGCTATTATGTTTCGTTTATTGTAGGTAGGGCAACTGCATTATTCCTGTCATACAGATGATGAAATGACAGTTTATAAAAAGTTTTGGAGTTTGATACAGATCACTGTGTTTAGGAGTGAAATTTATACTTTCATGTTCTATCATGAAATAAAAATGAAATACTTTCTTGTTTATTTTCAGTAACTTTGTTTTTTGAAAAAAGCATCAGCAGGACTATCTGACTGACTGGCTGTGAGGGTGAAGGAGGAATCAAAATTGATTTTTAAGGTTACGAGCCTCGGTTCTGGAAGGATGGTATTACCATGAACAGAAACAGAGAATTTAAAGGAGTTGGTTTGGGGCAGTATGAGGCCTTAATGAATTTGTCTTAGACATGACTATTTAAAGTACCTAGAGTTCAGAGAAAGGTGGGCTGGAGTTCTCCGTTTGGGAGTTTTTCCATTGATATGACAGTTGAAGTTGTAGGAGATCACTGGGGGAAACAACATGTAGAGAGAATAGCCTTAAGTAGAGGAATTTGGATGTCCATAGTTAGAGAACAGGAGGAAGAAAAAGAGACCAGAGACTTGAGAGATAAGGAGAGTAGGGGCTAGTGCAACACAGACATAAGGAGTAGAACATTTCAAAGAAGTCATGGTCGCTGATGTCAAAGGCTGTAGGGAGGTCAGTGAGATTTGAGACTGAGAAAAACCCACAGACAGTCCTAAATGTCATTGAAGGAAATGGTTTCAGCAGAGTAGAAGTTGAAGCCAGATTGGACTTCTTTACTTTGCATGAAAGCAGGAGGAGTGTTTGTTTTTCTATAGTTATTGTGGCAATGTATTAAAGTATTGTATATTGTGAGCAACTTATTATTATATGTCACATCTCTATATATCTGTCTATTTGTACGTCAAGTCCTCAAAGCCTAATGAACTAGAATTAAAGAATAACCCCTCTAGTGTACACACACATACACACACATCAGACCTGAAGAAAGTACTCTTTTTGGACTTCCTCAGTGACTTGCAGAAGTGAAGGAAAACAAATCTGGCCAAGAGCTGAAGTTAGTGGCATGTTAGGTGATTGCTCAACGAAAGCAATCTTTCTCCTTTGTTGAATATAGTTTGTCTTCCTCTGGCTGCTGGATTCTGCCTCTGATTCAGGTATTTTGAAATTGTTTAGATAAGAGTGATGTGCACAAGCTGATTAGCGTAACAATTTAATCATTTCCGCACTAAATCCAGAAAAGATAGGAACTCTTTAAGAGATCTAAAGCAGATTCTTTCCAGTTTAAGAAGACTAGTATTCTCCTTTTGTCTGTTTTGCTACCTATACTCTAGCTGTCTGTAATCTATATGAAAAATATTTTTAAGAGATGACTATTAACCAAATTTTACCACAGCATAAAATCCAAGAAGATTATTCAGAAACATTTGGTTTAAATTTTTAAAGTGCTTTGGGGAGAATAGAAATGTTCATTCTTGGGGTTAGGATAAAAGATTGTGTTAAGTACGGAGTGTAGTGGCTTAGTGTGCCTCGTGATTATCCTGCTTTAGGGCTGGTGGTTAGTTGGAGGATGATTTCATAATAGCAACTGGGATAATTTGTCTCTCAGAATGTCTGTTTTTAGCCTTCAATACTGTTAATGAATTGAGGTACCTTGGGACGTGCATTTTTCTGTAATATTAGCATCATTTATGTAATGGGAACTTTTAAAATACCAGATTATATTCAATGCTGATAATGAAATTAAAAAATTGCCAGTCAGAATAAGTGAAACACTCAGGTTGGTTCTTTACACAAATTATTATCTCTAGGCCCCTCCCTCATCAGAGGTGTGGCATCTAACTTATGATATGTGTCTCTACACTTCCTTTATCAAAGGAGTTGGAGAATGTAAGTGATGAATGAATACGAAATTATGAATCTCCTTTTTTCCTCTTGCCTTTACTCTCAATAAAAGTGTGATGATTATTATTTCATTTCAGTGAAAGCTACTCAATGAGAAGAATTGCCTCAGTCATTTTCCTCCCTATTTCATAGCCTTACCCTCTAGCTTGTCTCCATGGCTATTGTTGGAACCCTGTGAGCCAAACTGTGATCTACATTGTTTCTAGATGATGTCTGTTCCTATCTGTTTGCCATTGCTTCTGGTTGTCACACCTTCCCTCAACTCCTGTCTGCTTAATTGAGTCTTATTTTTTCCTTTAAGAAAAAACATAGTGTTTTCACTGTTTGTTCCATATCTCATAATTACTCCTCCTTCTGAGCTACTGTATCATTTTTTTCTGCACCATTTGCTTGGCACTTAGCTTATGCCAATTTGTATTTGTTTAAAATTGTGGTAAAATACGTATAACATAAAATTTACCATATTAATTAGTTTTTTATTAATTTTTTTATTGGAGTACAGTTTATTTACAATGTTATATTAGTTTCTGCTGTACAGCTAAGTGAGTCAGTTATACATATCCACATATCCACTCCTTTTTAGATTCTTTTCCCATATAGGTCATTACACAGTATTGAATAGAGTTCTCTGTGCTATACTGTAGGTCCTTATTAGTTATCTATTTTATATATGATAGAGTATTTTATATATAGTATATAAATATATGTATTATATGTATAGTATTTTATATATAGTCAATCCCAATCTCCCATATATCCCGCCCCCCCACCATATTAATCAGTTTTAAGTGTACAATTCAGTATTTTTAATTATATTCACATTGTTGTGCAACTAATCTCTAGAACTTTTTCATTTGTAAAACTGAAACTCTGTAGCCATTAAACAATAACTATCCAATTCCCCCTCCCCTCAGTCCCTGGCAACTATCATTCTACTTTCTACCTCTATGAATTTGACTACTCTGGATAGCTCATATAAATAGAATCATCCAGTATTTTTCTTTTTGTGATTGGTTTATTTTACTTAGCATGATATTCTCAAGCTTCATCCACGTTGTAGCATGTGTCGGAATTTCCTGCCTTTCCTAGCCTGAATAATATTGTACGTACAGACCACATTTTCTTTATCTGTTCATTTGTCCGTGGACACTTGGGTTGCTTCCTTTGGCCATTGTAAATAATGCTGCTATGAACATTGGTGTACTAATTTGTATTTTTAAAGATATGATTTTATCAGTATGACTTCCATCTCTGAATGTCTACTTTAGTCTAAGCCTTGGAGGGCAGAGACCATGTTTTAAACATTTTTTAATCAAAAGTACCTAAGTATAGCATTGTGCCTTGCTAATCAGTAATTGTTTCTTGATAATTAATAGAGCAGATTTACTTTCAAGTAACTCTTTTTGCTTATTTTAATTCTTTGAGGGTATTTAAATAGTTTTTTAATCACAAGTTAGAGGAAGGCAAACTTAAGCTTTCTTTAAAAATTATAGTAATCTTGGAAATCTTAGATAATTATTCAAAGATGGCTAAGAAGCTATTTCCTCTTGGGCTCAGTTAACTTTCCTGGTCATTCCCAATTCAGACAAATAACCTGGGGATAATGGTTAGTAAGAGTAGTCACAGATTCTCAGAAAGAGAGAACAGCTATTTTGCTATTTTTTTCTAATTTTTTCCCTGGTCCTACAGT